TGGAAAGTTCCAGTCCTCCCCCCCGACCAGCTCTCCTCTCCCAACCCCCATCCCGGGGATCTCTGGGCCCCTCACCCTGCTGCTCCTCCTAGGGCCAAGGGCTTCCAGCACCAGCGGATGACCAATGGAGCCATGAACGTGGAGATAGGAAACCCTACCTACAAAATGTACGAAGGCGGAGAGCCCGATGATGTGGGAGGCCTGCTGGATGCTGACTTTGCCCTGGACCCTGACAAGGTGGGCTGCCCGTGGGGTCGGGGCTGCTCCCTAGCAAGGCACAGGGGTGTGTAGGCTGGGTGGCAGTCGGGACGGAAGGGCTGGTGGACCCCATGCCACAGCACCCAGCAGCCCCTCAGTCCCTGCTGACCCTCTCTGTCACTCTGCAGCCCACCAACTTCACCAACCCCGTGTATGCCACACTCTACATGGGGGGCCACGGCAGCCGCCACTCCCTGGCCAGCACGGACGAGAAGCGAGAACTCCTGGGCCGGGGCCCCGAGGATGAGATAGGGGACCCCTTGGCATAGAACCCTCCCCCAGAGAGCCTCCTGCCCTCCATCTCCCCTAGCCCAAGCAGTCCTTCCATGTGCCCCCTCCCCAGCCAGCCCTTGGCCGGCCCAGCCGGATGTATAAATGTACAAATGAAGGAATTACTTTTTATATGTGAGCGAGCAAGCAAGCCAGCCAGCGAGCAAGCGAGCAAGCGAGCACAGTGTTATCTCCTCTCAGTCCCTTCCACCTGCCCAGCCCCCAGAACCCCAGCACCGCCTGGGGGAGGGCAGGTGGGCTCCGGGGAGGCTCCTGCAGCTTCATCAAGGTACGAGGGGGCCGCCCCCAACCCTCCCCCAGACGCACCCCACAGGGAGTGCTGGCTGGTCCTGGACACTTTACCAAGGCGCTCCCCTCTCACTCCCATCCTCTCACCTCTGTCCCAGCTACCCACCTCCCCATTGCTGGGCGCTCATTCCAAGGAAGAGGGAGAGTTCTTTCATTGCCCCTGTCTGACTGGAAGGGAAAAGTGGAGATGGTTAGTTCTTGGAGGGGGTTGGTCAACCCAAGCCCTAGCCCCTGCTCTAGGGGCACCTCTGAGATGGCCCCACTCATCACCCCTTCCAGACAGGTCCTCCCCTTCCCCGCTGCCGTTCTCCCCCTCGCTACCCCACCCCCCTCCCAAGGCTGGAGACCTTGGTGACAGGTGCCCAAGGAGGAGGAGGAGGATCCCGCCGAGGAAGGGCAAGCGGGCAGCCCCGTTTTGGGGACCTGAACGTTTTAATAATTTTTGAATTCCTTTACAACTAAATAACACAGATATTGTTATAAATAAAATTGTTAAAAAAAAAAAAAAAGAAAAAGAAAAAAGATGCCTGTGTCTGCCTTTGAATGTGATGCTGAGCTGGGGCTGCGCTTGCCTGCTTCAGCCACCAGAGGGAGTCCTGCTGTCCATTGGAGGCCCGCCTGGAAGAGAGGCCTCCCTTAGGGTCTTGCCCAGTGCAAGGCAGCAGGGGTAGCATTGGATTTGGCACTGGTCCCTTCACCGTGTGATTTCGAGCCTGTGAATTCATCTCTCTGGTTAGTTTGCATTGCCACTTCTAGGGGACATCACCACCACCTCTACCAACAATGCTGTCCCGTGACAATCCCACCAGATGGTACTGGGGTTGGGCAGTGGCTCTCCCTGCCCAAGTTCATTTGCTCTGAAGCGGTGACATCACACTTCCTGGGGACCCACCCAAGAAGACCACCAATAGATACAGCTCATTAAGGGATGCACAGGGCTTAGCAGGAAAAGTTGGTACCAATTAAAGATATCCTAGGACTACTTACTCTGGAATCCTTTGCCGGAGGTCACACGGTTCAGGACCCAGAGAGCATTCACACCCACTCTCCCCTGCAGCAGTGATCCCAGGGAGGGGGCTGTCCCAACTCAGAGGGGAGGGCTACAGTCAACCCCTCTGTCACGGGTTTCAGGGGCCTGGGGATTCCTTGCTTGCTTCCCCTGTCTCTGGAAAAGTGTGGGTGACAGCACCTCCAGAAACAAGAGGCTTCCCTTTCCCTCTTTCCTTGGGATTTCTTCTTTTTTAATGGTTACAACAGCTGAAGCTGAACTGATTGAAAGTCAGGAACCAGGAACATTTTTTTAAAGATATTTTATTTTTTTATTGCAAAGTCAGATATACAGAGAGAAGGAGAGGCAGAAAGGAAGGTCTTCCGTCCGATGATTCATTCCCCAAGTGACCACAACGGTCGGTGCTATGGCTGATCCTAAACCAGGAGCCTCTTCCAGGTCTCCTATGTGGGTGCAGGGTCCCAAGGCTTTGGGCCGTCCTTGACTGCCTTTCTGGGCTGGATGGGAAGTGGAGCTGCCGGGATTAGAACTGGTGCTCATATGGGATCCTGGTGCATTCAAGGCGAGGACTTTAGGCGCTACGCTATCATGCTGGGCCCAACCTTGGGATTTCTAATCTCCTCTTCCTAGCCAGCTCTTGGGCTCTTGAGAGCTTCTGCCTACTCCCTAGGAACCCAAGATCCCAGGGGCTGAGCAACCCAGGAGAGGCAGAGACGGGCCTCCTTGTTGGTGGCTGAGTGAATTGTACTCCTATCTAGCCACCAGGTGGCGCCCACACTCCTGCCGGACTGCTCATCCTGAAGCCCATCATTGCCCCTCCTCATCACACACTAATTATGCACCTGCCGGAGGACCCCAGCCCAGCCTCTCACTTCCTTCCCTCGGGCTATTTTGCCACACACCCTCCTCCCCCCTCCGCCAGTCAGCTTCCGTCTCGCAGCGGCTCTCCCCTTCTCCCTTCCAAACAGCCGCCACCCCTTCAACCCCTCCCTCCACCAGCCCGTACATCTGGCGCCCCCCGGGAGCCACTGATTCTCTCTGCCTGTCGCCTCAAGATCTGGAGCAAAGCGGAGAAGGGCCCCACCTGAGGGCTGCAAGGCACAGCCCTCTGAGGGCCAGCACCCAAGTTCTGTGTGCAGGGCCTGCTTGGACACCAGCCACCAGGAGGCGGTCCTCCCAGGTTCTTGCCAGGTCCTCTTCACCTGCTAGCAGGTGGCACGAGGGCTACAGAAAAGAGCCAGGGAGCAGAACCGGGAACACAGCCTATATTGCCAGCACAAAAGGCAGATTCGGAAACAGAGTGTAGGAACTGAAGTAAAAACCCAGAGGCAGATGTGTGTGTGTGTGTGCACGCAGATAGATAACTGGCAAGAAAACAGGATGACCTGAGGTTGTAACCAGGAGAGTCAAGTAATGGAGGTGGGGCTAGCCTGCAGGGGGGTATCAGCACCTTGGTAATGGATGTTCTAGGCCTGCTGTGCCACTGCCCCCGCCTACTGCTGGAGCAACCCCTGGACTCGGGATTCTGGATGGGGCCTGTGGTCCTAAGCCTGGACGCTTCTGCCCTCGCCTGCCTCCTCTGCACACCTGCCCGGGCCCCTGCCTCCTGGCTCTGGCTGCTTCCCTGGGTGCTTCAGCCTCTTCAGCAACCCTGTGCTTTCCCTGACTCTGTGTGTGTGTGTAACATCTCACACCTGTCTGCTTCTTTGTACATGCCTCAGCGTGTCTTTGGGACTGCCAGTGCTAGTGAACGCTCAGCTGTGTGTGTGTGTGTGTCTACCAAGATGAGCTGGACACACTTATCTCCTGGGGCAGGCGTATGTCCCCACCAACACTAGGCGCCTACATATGTGTGCAAAATGAGCATCCGTGTGCATGGGTGTATACCCCAGGTGTGTGCCTGTCTCTGTGTTGGGCTGTGCACCTCCACAGCATGGCTTGTCAGCTCAGGCACCTCTGCATGGCTGGGAGGGGGTGCTCAGGGCCTGCGAGCATCTCTCTGCATCTTTGCTGGCTGAGATGTCTTTGCTGTCCGAGGTGTGGGTCATGCCACAACCTTAGCGCATAGCAACAGCGACAGCTGAAGACTCCAGGGCAAGGGAGAGAGACGAGGGCGGGGGGGGGGGGGGGGAGAGCGGAGGAAGGAGGCAGCTAACGAAGAAACAGCCAAGACGGGGACAGAGACAAGGCTGGGGCTGGGGACAGAGACAAGGACAGAGGCAGGCCGCCAAGGGGCCAGAGATCCAGAGAAGAGCTGATGGTGAAAGATGGGACAGCGATAGTCAGGGAAGGGAGGCTGGGCAGGCGGCTTAAAGGGCACTCGTATCGTACCCCACACAGGGGCCCAGGCCGTGTGTTGGCGGAGGCGGGATTAGCGACTGGGGTTAGGGGGACTCGGGTAAGCTGTCCATCTCGCCCAGGGGTCCCCGAGGCCGCAGGGGTGCCGGAGGCGGGGGCGCCGGGCGCCGTTCGTCAATCCTATTGACAGACGTGATGGGGTTTCCATCCGTGATCAATGATTCTCATCTCCGGGCCGAATGAGCCGCGGGGCGCCCATCCATCCCCGTCAGCCTGCGCGCCCGCAGCCGCCCGAGGCCCCACCCGCCCTCACCTCGGCCCCTGCCCTGATGCTGCCCCGGGTCCCACCTCGGTCCAGCATCGAGGGACCCTGGTCCTGCTGCGGCCGCTGAGCCCACACCTCGCCACCGCACCGCCACTCACACACACACAGACACACGTCCCTGGGCTCCACGCCCTGCCCTCGTCCACCTCGGGGCGCGAAGCCGGCAGGTCTGGGAGCCTTGCCCGAGCCCCTGGAGCCTCTGGTTTTCGCACCTGGGCCGGGGGCGTGTCCGGGGCGTGGCAGGGTGAAAGTCACCTTCGGTGCCCCCCGCTGGGCGGGCGGGGGCGCGCGGGGCGCGGCCGGGATTGGCGCGCGGCGGAGCCCCGCCCGACTCCGATCCAACTTTCTCCCCCGCCCGCGGCCCGCGCCCCGCCCCCCGCGCCGGCTCCGCTCCTCCACGCAGTCCGCCGGCCGCGCCGCCCGCTCCCGCCGCTCGCCCGCACGCGCGCCCGGAGCCCTGCGCCCCAGGCCCGGCTCCGGCTAGCCCCGGGACCCGCGCCACTCGTTCGCTAGCTCGGCCGCCCGGGGAAGATGCGGCTGCTCCCGGAATGGCTCCTCTTGCTCTTTGGCCCCTGGCTCCTTAGGAAGGTAAGGGCGGCGGAGTTTGGAGGCGCAGGGGAGGCTTGGGGCACCAGGGTCCCAGAGTGGCGAGGAGCTCCAGGCACCTTGCCCCGCCCCGCCTCCCCCTCTAGGCTCCAAGCGGCCCAACTTTGTGCGGCCTGGGGGACGCGGACAGACAGACTGCCGACTTGGGGACTGGCGCTGTCTCCTGGCACAAGTTGGCCGAGGGCTTCAAGGGGCTCGAGATGCAGGCCGGCTCGGAGCTGGTGAGGGGCGCGGCGCGGGGAGGGCACAAAGCGCGACCCGCGAGTGCGCCAGACAGAGCGGGAGTGCGAGACCGACAGACAAGCCGGCGGGGTGTCAGCCTTGGCGGTCTTTCCGCGCCAGCCTCGCTCGCCTGCCTCGCTTTCTGTCGGTCTTTCCAGTCCTCCGCCTCCGCCTCCCCCCACCCCACCCCCGTCTCTCTTCCTCGCACTTGTCACCATGCCAGATAGGCTCTGGTTCCGAGCACACGCGCGCGCACGGACTCATACAGACACGGCTCAACTTGGCTACGATCTCCCATTACGTTTCCGGCGGAGACACCATCTCCCCTGCACAACCTCGCAGACACACCCCCCTCTCGCGCCCGGCAAATGGCGGGGAGGGGGGTGCTGTCTGGAAGGTAGGGGGTTCTCGCGTCCCCTCCGCTCCCTACCCAACCCCTCTAGTCTGCCTCCTTCTCTGAGGTTCCCGGGGCAGGAACCGTGGAGGCTAAGTGGGCCCAGCCTGATCCTCCCCTTGGTGAGTGCACAGGGTATGTTCCTTTTTGCTGCTGTGGAGCGTGCATCCTGGTGTGCACCTGTGTGCGTGGGTGTGTCCGAGAGAGCCAGGTTTGGGTGTCTGGCGCTGGGGCTCGAGGGGGCGTGTGCACACTGATGTCCCCTTTGCCTGCGGGAGTACCAGCGCTTGCTTTAGGGTACAGCCATCAGTTTGTGCCTCCCCCCCCCCCCCGCCGCGTCTCCCACAATACAAGACCCCAAGCCCTGGGGCCCATCTCCCTCCACAAGCCTCAGCTTCCCCTGGCCAGCCTTGTTTCCTGCCCTCCAACTGTGACCTACCTAGTTCAGCAGCAGGTAGGTGGCTCCCTAAACCCTCCCTCCCCACTAGGCTGTTCCTGGAAAGGGGCTAGTTCTCTCTCCCCCTGCCATCTCCCCCAGCGTTTGGACTCCCACCAATCCCCTTCAGTAAGTCCACCCAAGCAGGGGATGCCCCCTTGAAGCCAGCAATAAAGCACCTTATTCTCCTAGACCAGCCAGGTGACCTTGAGGGTCAGGAAGGTAGGCAGCGAGTAGCCCCACTGGGTAGAAACTGTTTTATCTGGCAGGGGCTCCTTTTGCACTAGCTGCTCTGCCTGCCCTTACATGGCCCATAGGAAGAAGTGTGTGTGTGTGTGTGTGTGTGTGTGTGTGTGTGTGTGTGTGCACACCCACCTTGTGTGGGGTCCACACACGGCAGGATGGTACACAGTCCCCAGCCCTGCGCCTGCCGTCCTCCCACTCTCCCCTCAAATAAACTCCCCTGTGGACAGATCTGGTTTAATTTCCTTTGCCCCCTGAAGGGGAATGAAACATCTGGTGGAGACTTGAGGGAGAGCGTGCATGGGGCTATGAGCGATGGGAGCTATCTGAGGAACAGCGAGCTGCAGCTGCGGGCCTCCTCCAGAGCCGGTGGGGGCGAGCGTTTCTGCAGCCCTAGGGTCCTGCCATCTCCTCCGCCTGCACGCCCCCTTCAAGCCCCTCTGCTAATCTCTGGCTGGGCCACTTAGACACGCGCAGTCTGGTCCAAGGACTGTGAGCTGCTGGTGGGGATTTGGGGGGTAATCAGGGGCAGCAGCTGGGCCAGGGACACAGGGGAGGGGGCTGCGGTGGCTGGCACCTGGAGCCACAACCTTGCCATGCAAGCCCCTCTGTGCAGTTGGAAAGGAAGATTTAGGGGGTCATGACTTGGCATGGGGGAGGAGTTGGAGACCTTGGAGCAGGCGGGATGGGGTCATTGGAGTCAGGGTCAGGGTCACTGGGGAGAATTACTGGGGAGAGCAGGGAAGTCAGGGTTGGGGTGGCTCTCAGATAGGGGTCGAAGATGAAGCGTTAGCAAGGGAATCAGGAATTGGGACTGCGCCGTCATCCAGGTGGGCGGGGACGGCGGGGGGGGGAACAGGTTCACAGCAAGAGTAGGGTCATGGGGGAGGGGTCAGGACTCAAGTGCGGGGTGGGGGTCGCAGGGAGTGGGGAGACTGGAATAGGGAGCACCGCCTAGAGTCTTGGAAATTGGCGAGTCTCCCCTTCTCCCCCGCTTACCCCTCCTCCACCTCCACCCCGCCCACTCCCCCTCCGGCTCCGGCTTCGGGAAATTACATCCCCGCTCCGCGGCTCCCCGCCCCCCCCACCAACGCGCCCCGGAGCCGGCGCCTTTATAGGCACATTTATTGCAATAATAAAGTGAGGCGCGGGGTGGGGGGCGGGGGGCGGCCGTTCCCGGGGGGACCGCACCGGCTCGAGGAAGCAGGGAAATAAAATAAAATAAAATAAAATAAAAATTCAGATAACGGTGAGCCTTGCGCGGCAGGCCGCGAGCGGGCGGGCAGGCGGGGCTGAGGGGGAGGGGGCGCCCGGCCCAAGGGCACAGCCCTCCCCTACCCGCCTGCCCCTCCCCCGCCTTCACGCAGTACTAGGGTCTGCAGCCAAGGTCTTCCCCTCCACCTGCCTGGCCCCTTCCCGGAGCCTGATCCTGCCAGGCCTGTCTTTCCCTCTGGCTCTGACCCACACCTGTACTCGGCACCTCTCCCTCCAATTTCTCGCCATCCCCCATTCCCATTCCAGCCCCACCCCCTGCCGCTTGCCCCATTCCCACCTCCTGGATCTCTGCCTCCATCAGCATTTCTGATTCTGCCCAACAGCCCCCCCCCCATTTCTCTTCTTCCCCATCCTGTCCTATCCCATTCTTGTCTCACACCCACACCCAGTACCTAGCCCATGCTACCACCGTTAATGTTAGCATTCCAGACCCCACCTTCACCTCTGTGGTCCCCACCAGTTTGTCCAGTGTCTACCCACCATTTCCCATTCCCTCCCCCACCCCAGTCTAGCTGGTCCCCCATCCCAGCTCCCCTCCATCTAGGTCTTAGTCCTCACCCCAGCCTGTCTTGCTCACCCCACCTCTGTCCTTGGTTTTCAGCCAGCTTCCTCCTGCCCAGACTGCAGTGCCCTGGCCCTGGCCTCAGGCTCTGGCTAGGTGCAGGGGCTCAGTTTGCTGCTTTCTCCCCTGCCTCCAAATGCCGGCTTGGGCTGGCCCTCCCCTGACCCTGGGGGCCCTCCCCTCCCGCCAGTTGAGTCCCGCTAGCCCAGCTTGACCCACGCAGGGAGGAGGAGGGGCACCAAGCAGTCTGAAGCCCCAAGGGAGGTGCACCCTGCAATGCGGCTGGGGGGCCCATAGCCTGATCCTTCCCCATACCGGCCCTGTCCTGTGGGGAAAGAGTTCCTACCCCCACACCCGCCCTCACCTCTGGTGGAGTTTGTTTAGCAGCCAGAGGCAGCCTCAACTCCCCCCAGGTGCGTGGGCTGCTGCCTTGGGGGCACGAAGCTGCTGGCTTGGCTCATACGGCAGGGGCCTGGAGAAGCTGACTGAAGCCCCCCCACACCAGACACCAGACACCTCCCACCGCCCTGCTGCCGACAGCTGCGCTAGCCTCTCCCCTCTGCAAATGTCACCGCGCCCAATTAGCTTAATTAAAGCAGCTCTGGAGCAAGTGGGACCCCTCCTCGGACAACACCCTGCTCCCTCCGTCCCCGCCCCTGCAATGGGGCCAGTGGGGGCACAGACCCAGGCTGTGGGCACCAAGGAACCCCTCATCACCTTGTCCCCCCTCTCCCACAGTGGCACACGGACACCCTGAAGGGCAGAGGGAGAAAAACGCAGTCAGACAGACAGACGGGGAGAGAAGGAGGCAATTACAGAGTGAGGAAAGAGCCAGAGACAAAAAAAGAGAAATAGGGGGAGGGAGGGGGGGAAACAGTGGAAGAGGTAGAGCGAGAGAGGGAGAGTGTACAAGCCATTAAGGAAGCCAGAGGGAGGATTTGATTTTATTTTATTCCTTGTTCCCATTTCCCGGCTCGTTTCCTCACAGCTCGTCCCTGCCTGGCCAAGCTTCCCCCATCATCGCCCAAGGTCGCCTGGCTGTTCCCCCCAACTCTCCTCTTTATCTTGGCTGTCTCCAATAGCAGGTGGGGGTGTGAGAGCCCAAAGCCCAGGGATTTGCCAGGATCAGAGAAGTAGAGACAGCAATTTGTCTGGGATCAGAGGGGTGGGGGTACACACACACACACACACACACACACACACACACACATCCTGGCATCGGGCAAACCTCATCCCTTCCTCCAGCCCCTGGGCCCTGGGAGGCATCAGACCTAACCAGGGCTGCCCAGGTCCTGGTCTGGGTGCAGGACACAGGGATCCTGGGGTTTTGGCTGGGATGAGGTGGCTTGGAGGCATTTGGGGTCAGGAGGCCAGGGACTGGGCTCACTGGGTGACCAAGTGCAGGTAAGGGATGGGAGGGTCGATTAAGGGTCAGAGGTCAGACACCTGCACTCTTCCACCCTGCTCCCAAGCCTCGTCCACTCCTTTTCTCAGCTGACTTCTGCTGGCCAGTGGCTCCCCTCCCCACGTGAACATCCAGGGCCCCTCCTTCTCCCTACCCCGGGCCAGGGACCCCTTCCCCCAGCCCCCTCTCAGGCCCACTTCAGATGCCAGCTTCAGCCTGTCTGTCTGAGTCCATCACCGTTTGCCGCCCCTGCCCCCCTCACCTGGGCCGGGAGGAGGGTTGGATGGGAGGAGGGACGAGGGGGGCGATAAATATGTATGACGAGCGGGTGGCGGCAGCATTAATAACCCGGGATCGCAGCGCTGCGGGACCAGGCGGTAGAGATTTCAGCCCAGCCGCTTCTTCCGCCATGCCTACCCCTCCAACGTGGACTCGAACGCGCGCGGAAACACGGGGTGAGGGCGCCCTGCGGCCCAGCCTCCCTACGCCACCACCTCCCTCCTATGCATAGGCACTCCGGGGAAGGTCCATCTCCCACTCACACACGTTTCCACAAGCCTGTGAGGACACGGCGACACCACACTTGTTGTGCAGGTGTGTGTGTGTGTACCCGCTTCCGGGAGAACCGGACGCGACTGGGACATGGGCTGAAAGGTGGTGTGCGCACAGAAGAGTGACCCCTTGCAGACCACGGCGGCCGCGGTCACACAGCCAGTGCCGCCGGCGGCCACACAGACGCCTCGGCCGAGCCTCCCCGCGCTGTCGCCCGCGTCGCCGCTGCAGAGCCTCCGGGGGCTGCCGGTCGCCCCGAGCCACGCGGCCTCCCCCGCGGGACCGCAGCCGTGCGGGCCCCCCGCGAGCAGGCCTGAATGACACACTCTGACACGCGCCGCTCCCTCCCGCTCCCTCGCCCGAGCGGCATCTCCATATTTCTTCCTCCCGCTCTCCCGGTCTCCTTTCACTCTCGGCCACCACTGCCACCACCCCACCCCCGCCCAGATAATTGATGGCCCGGGCCTGGCCCGGCCGCTCCCGCCTCTCGATCCATCTTGTAATCCACGCCCGCGCTGTCTCCCGGATCGGCCGCCACCTGAGACTCGCCGAGACGGGTGGGGGCGGGCGGGCCGGCTCCCCCCACCTCCCCAGGTCAGCTGCCCCTCAGCCCCCCGCCAAAGCCGCCCCGCGGCACGCTTAACGCCCTCTGCCTCCAGCCGCGGGAATCCTGCAGGTGCCCTCTTCCCGGAAGGTCGGTCGGGGTGGACCGAAGTGGGGTCGGGAGTTCCTCGCGCTTTTTTCTGCGCCCCGGAAGTGGACATACCCAGGCCTCGGCCTCTCCCGCACTCCAGTCGCCTCTTGTCCTCCCAGACCCATTGCTTGGAATCATGCAGGGCAGGCCAGGGTAGTGGGAGCCGTGGTGTCTGGATCTGCCCTGCCGCCTCTGGCCCGCTCCAATACCTGAGGTTTGAGCGCACACGGGCGTGCAGCGTCACCTCACAGATGTAGCAACTGAGGGCTAAATAGATGGAGCGACTTAGCCACGACCACATAGCTTGAAAAGGCTGCCGGTCTACTCCCGGCACCTGCTTCCAGAATCACCTGCTGCTCCCGGGGAAGAGAGCTGGAGAGGGAGGGCGGGGCGGTCAGGGGCAACCCCAACGAGCCTCTCTCTTGTCTCTCCTGCTCTTTTTCCTGCGCAGGCCCTCAGTGCCCAAATCCCAGAGTCAGATCGGCCTCAGTACCTGGAGCTGCGCCCAGCCACGGCCGGAGGGGCTGTCCCTGGCCAACAGCTGCCAGCGCCCAGGTCTCCCGAGGGCCTGGGCGCCGCCCGCACCTGGAGCTGGGCCTGGCCCGCTAACCACACCGGGGCCCTGGCTCGGGCTGGAGCGGCGGGCGCGCTGCCGGTGCCGCGCACCAAGAGGAAGCCGTCCATTAAAGCTGCCCGTGCCAAGAAGATCTTTGGCTGGGGAGACTTCTACTTCCGGGTGCACACCCTCAAGTTCTCGCTGCTGGTCACGGGCAAGATCGTGGACCACGTGAATGGCACCTTTAGCGTGTATTTCCGCCACAACTCCTCTAGCCTGGGCAACCTCAGCGTCAGTATCGTGCCCCCCTCCAAGCGGGTCGAGTTCGGGGGAGTCTGGTTGCCGGGGCCAGCCCCCCATCCTCTGCAGTCCACGCTGGCCCTGGAGGGGGTGCTTCCCGGGCTGGGACCCCCCCTGGGGATGACTGCTGCAGGACTAGGGGGCACCCCCCTTGGGGGTGCACTAGCGGGGCCCCTGGGGGGCGCGCTGGGAGTGCCTGGCGCCAAAGAGTCCCGCGCCTTCAACTGCCACGTGGAGTACGAGAAGACCAACCGTGCGCGCAAGCACCGCCCGTGCCTGTACGACCCCTCGCAGGTGTGCTTCACGGAGCACACGCAGAGTCAGGCCGCCTGGCTCTGTGCCAAGCCCTTCAAAGTCATCTGCATCTTCGTCTCTTTCCTCAGCTTTGACTACAAACTGGTGCAGAAGGTGTGCCCAGACTACAACTTCCAGAGCGAGCATCCCTACTTCGGGTAGCGCGCCCCGCCCCCTGCCCTGTCTCTGCCCTTCCCGCCAAATCCCAGCCTGGCTAGGTGGGACCCCGCCCACATTTCCCGGTCCCCTTTCCGCCCACCCGGCCGCGCCCAGCCCTTCCACTCTGGGGGGCGGGGAAGAATGGCCCTCCAGGGAACCTTAGGCAGTTGCGAATTCCCTTTTCCTCATGCCACATTCCGCTGTGTCTGGGATACCCCGCCTCCAGGCTGAGACACACTTTAAGGTGGTGATGGGGAACCAGCGCAGCCCCTGAATCTGCGGGGAGGGAAGACTGTTCCGTCCAACGTCCTCCGGGTCCACACTGGGTTCCTTTATTGCCCCTGGCGCCGGGTTGTGCAATCCCTTTGCCCGCAGCTTTACTGCCACTTGCTTGGCACCCTTATCGCACCCCGCCACCCTACCCCCACCCCCAACGCGCTCGTGCCCTGCCGCACCTGTCCCTGCAGAAGTCCATAGCCCTGGCCCTTTCTGCCTGCCCCCTCTCCTCGCGACCCCTTCGGGTAGCGGAAGCAGAGGCACTGCGCCCGGCAGCTCCGCCCTTGGCCCTGGCCCTCCGTCCTCCCCATCCCCGCAGTCCAACTCCACCTGCCCTCTTGGCTGCTTCCTCACGGTGATATTTTTTATACGCCAAAACAGACGGGAAAGGGAACAAAATAAAGTGAAATCCAATACGCGTCTGTGTGAGACCTTTGTAGAGAAAAGGGGGGCAGGTGTGGGCTACTGTCTGGTGGAGATGCACCCAAGACATTCTCCCTAGGCGGCTTTGGGGGAAATTGAGGCACTGGTTGACAATATCTGGCATCATAAGGTCACCTAAGACCGGATCACAGAGGGGAGTGACCCTTAGGGCAGGAGGCCTGCCAGGGCAGATGGGGAAATCCTTCTGGCTGAGTTGGGGCCAAGGCAGCTGGAGCAAACAGGCTGGAGCTGAGAATTCTGTGGGGACCGGTGGACTATTTGGGGAAGGAGGTAGAAGACCTGGGATGGGATGGGGATGCAGGCACAGCGTGGGCAGAGCGCTGACAACCTGCTAAGCTCGTCGGGCCCGGAGGGAGGCGGCAGGTGGGGAGGGAGGGGGGACGGTGTTTGCGGCATCTGGAGTCATCGATCTTCCTTTTCCTTCCTAATTTCGTGGGCGCTGAGTTTGCAGACGGACGAGAAAGGGAGGGAGCTAGAGGGGGGAGATGAGGGTGTGGGGGGAGGGCCGGGCGCGGGTCTGGAGGGCGGGCCCCGCGACGCCGCTGGCTGGCTGCCGGTACACTCAGCCCCCTCCGGCCAGCTGCCCACCCTCCCCACCGCCGCCTCCGGCTCGCTCCTGCTGCCCGCCGCTGCTAATTTTATCCGCCCCCAACCCTGGCCCGGGCGTTAATTGGCTGCGGCTTCATTAGCAGTTCTCAGCTCAGTGGGCCCCCCTTCCCGTGGGACCCCTGACTGGGGCGAGGGAGGGGGTTCGGACAAGCAGAGGCATCAAGAAATTCCTGCTCTTCCGCCTGGCTTCGCCTGGAGGCCAGGGTCCAGGTGCCCCCTGGGAAGAGGCCGCGTTCTCCAGGGCATGCCCCCTGGCTGCAGCCGGACTAGGAGTCGGGAAAGCGTCTGACCCAGACTAGCCTGTGGGTGCAAAATCTGCCAGGTGAGCCTGCACTGGATCGGTGGGTGAGAGCCTCACGGGAGCAGGGGGAGCGGTTCTGGGTCACAGGTTGGAAGAAGAGCCAGCCCAAAAGTCTCCCAACAGCTGAGACAAAGCTGGGGCTGCAGGGGTGTGGCAGCGGGTTAGAGCAAAGAGTCTGGCATGGCAGCCAAGTGGAAACGGCTGGAATTTGTAAGTTGGCCTGTGTGGACCTCAGTTTCTCTACTTGTAAAATCATAATAAGGTCAGATGGGAGGACACGAAACTTTGCAGGTGAACCTGCTGGGGGTTGACTGGTCCTCCTCTTGCTGCTACACCTGCTTCCTCCAAGGCCATCACCTGCTCTGTCTCCTCCTCCTGGAGACGCACAACCCTGGGGAGAGGGAAGTGTTCCTGCTTGTCTGCCTCCTGAAGTCAAGGCTGCCAGGGAGCCCACCTGGATCACTCCAACCTCAAGGGCAGGAGCTCAGCCAGATAGCAGAAGGAGCATGTGTGTAATATTTCCGTGGCAGGCAGTGGTATCCCTTCCCAACCACTGCTTCCTGGGCTTCAGAGAGGAGAGGCACAAGCAGGCAGCAACACTTACTCTGAGATCTGCCTCCAGGGAGAGGCTGCATCCTCATGTGGGAGTCGCCCAAGGGTTTCCTCCTGATGGAATAGGCAAAGGGAAAACTCCCTTCCCAGGCCCAGGATACCCTTGGGATTACAAAGAAAGCTCGTTGACTGCTGGGATATCACCAAGCCTGTGAACAGGTAAGGACATGACAGATGCACAACAACAAGGTCAGGCTAGCACAACAAGGAGGGCTAGCCAACCAGAGCTGGTTAGCAGGAAAGTTTCAGTTCATCTCCACTGGGCACTTCATTGTGGCTTTTTTTTTGGGGGGGGGATTTATTTTTATTGTAAAGTCAGAAATACAGAGAGAAGGAGAGGCAGAGAGGAAGATCTTCCGTCCAATGATTCACTCCCCAAGTGAGTGCAACGGCCAGTGCTGCGCCAATCCGAAGCCAGGAGCCAGGAACCTCTTCCAGGTCTCCTATGTGGGTGCAGGGTCCCAAGGCTTTGGGCCATCCTCGACTGCTTTTCCAGGCCACAAGCTGGGAGCTGGATGGGAAGTGGAGTTGCCGGGATTAGAACCGGCGTCCATATGGTATCCCAGCGTGTTCAAGGCGAGGACTTTAGCCACTAGGCCATCGTGCCGGGCTCTATTGTGGCTTTTTTTTTTTTTTTTTGATTATTGGAAAAGCATATTTGCAGAGAGAAGAAAATACAAAGAGAAAGACTTTCTGTCCTCTGGTTCATTACCCACGTGGCCGCCATGGCCAGAGCTGAGCTGATCCAAAGCCAGAAGCTTCTTCCGGGTCTCCCACACAGGTGCAGGGTCCCAAGCCTTTGGGCCATCATCTACTTGTTTCCCAGGCCACAAGCAGGTAGCTGGATGGGAAGTGGAGCATCTAGAACTGGGATACTGGTGCTTGCAGGTGAAGGTTAGCCTGTTACAACACTGTTCTGGCCCTGGACTGTCACCCTTCCAAACCAGGTGCATTCTAGTGTACTGTACAGAGCTCTCTATGTTTTTTTTTTTAAGATTTATTTTATTTATTGGAAAGTCAGATATACAGAGAGGAGGAGAGACAAAGAAGATCTTCCGTCCAATGATTCACTCCCCAAGTGAGTGCAACGGCCGATGCTATGCCGATTCAGAGCCAGGATCCAGGAACTTCTTCCGGGTCTCCCATATGGGTGCAGGGTCCCAAAGTTTTGGGCCGTCCTCGACTGCTTTCCTGGGCCACAAGCAGGGAGCTGGATGGGAAGTGGAGTTGCCAGGATTAGAACCGGCGCCCATATAGGATCCCGGTGCGTGCAAGGTGAGGACTTTAGCCACTAGGCCACGCCGCCGGGCCCAGCTCTCTATTTTTTTTAACACACATTTTATGTTTGTTTCTTTTTAAATTTTTTATTTTATAAGCAGAGTCAAAAACAGGGAGAGACAGAGGTCTTCCACAGGCTGGTTCATTTCCTCAAATGGCCTCAAGAACCAGAGCCAGGAGCTTCTTCTGGATCTTTCAAGTGGTGCCAGGGCCTAAGCACTTGGACAATCTTCTGCTTCTTTCCCAGGAGCATAAACAGAGAGCTGGATCAGAAGTAGAGCTGCTGAACTCTAAGCAGCGCCCATACGGGATGCCTGCAGGGCAGGTGGAGGCGGATCTGATCTACTGAACTGCGGTGCCAGAGGTGTGTGTTTTTGTGTGGAAGTCTTTGGAAAATCTCTGAGAGCCTAATAATGCTAGATCTGAGCATGCACCCAATAACTTGTCCTGACATCCGACAGGAAATTGAAACCCTGAAAAGCTAGGCTGTAAGGTGTGAGGTGGCTCTGAATCTGTCTTCTTTCAGGGCAGGGTTTTTATTTTATTTTTTTCCATATGGTTTCCTTCATGTTTAAAGGGGGGTATTAAGGGAGAAGGCCCACCCAATTTCCCACCCTCCCCAGGTCTCGAATGTAGGGCATGCTCTGAGGATCTTGCTCATGTGGTTTTGATATTTCAACAGTTATGAATCACTGCCAATCTTGCCACTCCAAGCACTATGAGGTCTTTGAAAAATTCACTGATTGACATAGCCCATCATAGCTGAGATGGTTGGTTGACCTGTTCTATCGTCTCTCTTTTCTTGGTTAGGGTTCTGAGTCCAGCATTTAGATTAGGAAGATCTCCAAAGAAACTTTGAGGTGTTCTCAAACCAGATTCTACAGTCCATCACCCTGATCAGCTGGTGGTTGTAATTGCTGGGTTGGTTCTGTTTTCACTCCTGACTTCCACTGCAACTAATGGGTGTTGCAGTCCAGCCTGGTTCTGCCCAGCACATACTTGGCCCTCACATAAACCAATGGGAGCAGGGCAGGGTTTTTAAGTAGATGGGAGGGGGAAAAGCGGAAGAAAGGAGACAAACTACAATTCCCAAAAGGCCTCAAAGGGTCATTATCACGCATGCGTGGATCCCGCCCTCAACTGGCTCCTATGGGAAACCCCGCTCGTCTCGCGCATGCGCTTTCAGATCAGTCTGTTTCCGACCCCCTTGCCATCTCCCGCCAGAGTTAGTGGTTGGACCTCCTGCGACCCCTGGTAGCGATGCTGCCCTTCTCTTTGCTCTGGGCAGCTCGGGTAAGGATGGGGCTCTGGAGGAGTGGGGGTGGCCCGTGAAAAAGAATCCTTTCCCCTTGCCGAGTTCCCTTTCACGAACTCTGGGGTTCTCTGGGCTTTTTCACCGCGTGTGCCTTAGGGCCTTAGGGAGGAAACCATTAGCCAGGGACTCCCCGGGACTCCTGGGCACGCTTAGGGGGAACTGAGGGCCCTCCCTGCCCTAGCCTTTCGTCGCCCCAGTGCCTCGTGAGCGCCCAGTTCACGTGGCATTAGGGGAGAGGCCGGCGCCGCGTGTCCCATAGGGGACCCTGTGCTGTGGAACTCGTCAGGCTCCCCCTCCTGGACCGGCCAGGGGGTCTTTCCTGCGTGACCCGAGGCGTGCATACGATGCAACTGGGCCTCATTGTTTGCATCAGGCCAGAGTCCAGCTGGCGGGCATGGAGGCCAGAAGGAAGGGGTGTCGGTGAGGGGGCCAGGATATGGATCCTGGCGGCTTCCACTGGGACCTGCCCCTCTCCCACATTCCAGCCCCACACACATACCTGTTCTCCAGGGACTGCCAAAGGCTCCTCGCCCACCTCCATCCCTGGGAAAATCACCTCTGCAGTCAGCCCGTGGCCAATCAGGCTTCTAACTTTCTGGCTAGGGTAGCAGTTCTGCTTCAGGAAGCCCCCTTGTCCCTGTGGGAGTGGGCAGATTCTAGAATCTCTAGGGCCCTGACCTGAGTTTGGGGAAAGCAGCCATATGGGACGACAACTTTGCCCTGGGGCTTTTCAGGGTCATTTGGGGTGGGGGGAAGGGAGGCTTGTGGAGGGCATTTGCAAGGTGAGGTGAGTGTTGCTGTCCTGCAGCGGTGGACTTGGTGCATGGAGCCGATAATAACACGTGTGGACTCTGACTGATGGTCAAAGCCGAAGTTTATTAGTGGCATCAGACTTTATACACTGAGGGGGTCATATGGCATAAGAGAGGAAGTATCAAAACCCATCAACTGTTTCTATACTTTTGTTTGGAACTCCCTTTGCTTTTTATAGTCTACCAAGTGTTCTCATTTGCATGCTCTCCACTCAACTGTTCTTATACAAATGATATCCAATCAGGTATACAAAAAGTATCCATTTGGTTGTTATCATACAAATATTACCCAATCAACTGTAATCCTGTGCTCACTGACCTGCTAGGGTCACAATGTCCTCCTACAGTGAAAATGGAGTGAATTAGTCCTACCCCCTGGACATTGATCCCAAGCCTTGGCTCTTGAGAGGTGGGGGTGTGAGAACCGGAGCGGGCTGGCTGGACAGCTGGCCGCTGGCTATGGAGCCCAAGGGCCTTGCCAGCCTGGTAAAGGGCAATCGGTGGGAGCAACTCCTTGGCACCCCAGGTATGTTTGACCTCGACTTCTCCTGCCCCCAGCCTCTGCAGAGATGCGGCCAGCTAGTCAGGTCAGCTGTGCGGGCCCAGCATGGCAAGGCTGCCCAGACCCAGGCCGGGGAAGCAGTGCAGGGCTGGAGTGGCCAGGAGAGCCTGGCAGCCAGTGACCCTGAGATGTGGGAGCTGCTGCAGCGGGAGAAGGACAGGCAATGTCGCGGCCTGGAACTCATCGCTTCTGAGGTGGGACCTGAGCACAGGGGGCATGGGTCGGGCCTGGGATGTGGAGCCACTCCGCTGGGCTCGGCCATCTTCTGCCCCTGTCCCTCTGATGCAGAAAGACAGGTTTAGCCTGGCTGGAGGAGGTGGGAGCTGTCCCAGACTTTGAAAGCACCCTCCAGTGTGTCCTCTACCCCTCCCTTGCTCCCAAGAGGGACATTGGAGCGGGTAGGTGGCCTTGCTGGGGAGGCTCATCATCGCGGCTGCATTTCTGAGAATGGGGCCTGGCCCAAGGAGCTCTCTGTGGAGCCTGGCTCCCCTCTGCAAGTCCTGGGTGCCCTGGCAGGGTGGGCCATGGGGGTCCCAGGAAAGGAGTGGGAAGCTCCGGCCCATCTGACACTGCCCCCCCCCCCCCACCTCAGAACTTCTGCAGCCGCGCTGCGCTGGAGGCCCTGGGGTCCTGTCTGAACAACAAGTACTCGGAGGGTTATCCTGGCAAGAGGTGAGGGCGAGGCAGCAGGGCTGGCGCTCCCAATGGGGGAGCTCCCTGGGCTCTCCTGGTCCTTGGCTGCTGGCTGACAGTCACTTTCCTGGGACCTGATTGTGTGCACCTGCCCCTCGCATGGCAGGTACTACGGGGGAGCAGAGGTGGTGGATGAGATCGAGCTGCTGTGCCAGCGCCGAGCCCTGGAAGCTTTTGACCTAGACCCTGCTCACTGGGGAGTGAACGTCCAGCCCTACTCGGGGTCGCCTGCCAATCTGGCCGCCTACACTGCCCTTCTGCAGCCTCACGACCGGATCATGGGGCTGGACCTGCCTGATGGGGGCCAGTGAGTGTGTGGAAGGGGTGGCTGGGGGTAGCTGGGGTGGTGGAGGAGTTGGTGGCTGGCATCTGCACCAGCCATGGCTCCCCGTCCTGCAGCCCAGCAGCCCTCAGAGTCCACCAGAGGGACAACAGGGGCAGTGGGGAGCATGGCAAATGTGGTTAAGTACAGCCCTTACCTCCCCTGCCCTCCAGCCTCACCCACGGCTACATGTCTGATGTCAAGCGGGTCTCAGCCACCTCCATCTTCTTTGAATCTATGCCTTATAAGCTGAACGTGAGTGCTGTGCCAGCAGCGGAGAGGGGATGCCTAGGTGTGGGCTGGACCAGGGAGGAGGGGGTGAGCTGCCCCACAGGGTTCCAGGGGCTGTAGCTGTCTGTCTGTCTGTCCAGCCCCAAACCGGCCTCATTGACTATGACCAGCTGGCCCTGACTGCCCGACTCTTCCGGCCGCGCCTCATCATAGCTGGCACCAGTGCCTACTCACGGCTTATTGACTATGCACGCATGAGAGAGGTTGGTGGGACCACTGAGTGCCCCAAGGAGTCTGGGAGTGTGGCCAGGCCCTCCCCAGGCTGAGGTCCATCTTTGTACCTGTCCAGGTGTGTGATGAGGTCAAGGCTTACCTGCTGGCAGACATGGCCCACATCAGCGGCCTGGTGGCTGCCAAGGTGATCCCCTCGCCTTTCAAGTATGCGGATGTTGTCACCACCACCACACACAAGACCCTACGTGGGGCCAGGTAGGCTCCCCCTTGGACGGGCCCTGCATTTCCCTCCTGCCACACCCTCTTCCGAGGGTGCTGTCGGGGCTGCATCTGGGAGGGGTTCATTGTCACCTGCAGACCTGAAGGTTCTGTGTGCTCACAGTGGCTATTCCCTGGCAGGGGTTGTGGATGGGAGCACAGCCAAGGTGCACGCTAAGCTGCCAGCTGGCCCCTTGCCCCTGCCCCAGCCCCTCTCTGTCTCCAGCTGCGATTGAACACACTGCTCTCCCCACACAGGTCGGGCCTCATCTTCTACCGGAAGGGAGTGCGGACTGTGGACCCCAAGACTGGCCGGGAAATCCCTTACACGTTTGAGGACCGGATCAACTTTGCTGTGTTCCCGTCCCTGCAGGGGGGTCCCCACAACCACGCCATTGCTGCCGTAGCTGTGGCCCTAAAACAGGTTGGGGGACCCTGAAGTCAGCTAGAGCTGGTTGAGTGCCAGGATGGAGGTTGTGGCTGCTGAGGGTCAAGGCAGGGCACGGTCACAGATGCTGTTGTCACACTTTGCAGGCCTGCACCCCCATGTTCCGAGAGTATTCCCTGCAGGTTCTGAAGAATGCCCGCGCCATGGCTGACGCACTGCTGGAGCGAGGCTACTCCCTGGTGTCTGGTGAGCTGGGAAGTGTAGCTGAGGACCTTTGGAGGGTTGGGCGATGGCCGAGGACTCAGCATGACCCCATTCTTCATTCCACCCCTCTCCCTCAGGTGGCACCGACAACCACCTGGTGCTGGTGGACCTGCGACCCAAGGGTCTGGATGGAGCGCGTGCCGAGCGGGTGCTGGAGCTTGTGTCCATCACCGCCAACAAGAACACCTGCCCCGGGGACCGAAGTGCCATCACCCCCGGGGGCCTGCGGCTTGGTAGGGCCCTGGGTCTTTATACACCCACCCCGCACAGCTGCTGGGTAGGCTGGGATGGTGCGAAGCCCTCCACTGACTCCTTGGCTACCGTCTCCCAGGGGCGCCCGCCTTGACCTCACGACAGTTCCGTGAGGATGACTTCCGGAGAGTCGTGGACTTCATAGATGAAGGAGTTAACATTGGTCTGGAGGTCAAGAGCAAGACTGGTGAGTGGGCCAGAAAAGACCCCTGGGCCAGCCACTGCTCGTTCCCTGCCTCCTCTCCAAGCTAGGCCCGCTGCCTACTGCCCACCGCCTGCCCCATGTCACCCCGCAGTGCTGACTGTGTCTCTCTTCTCACCCGTCTCTCTAGCCAAGCTCCAGGATTTCAAATCCTTCCTGCTCCAGGACCCAGCAACCAGCCAGCGGCTGGCAGAACTCCGACACCGTGTGCAGCAGTTTGCCAGGGCCTTCCCCATGCCTGGTTTCGATGAACACTAAAGGCAATGGGGGACCGGGGAGCAAGGGACCCCCAGACCAGAACCAGAAGCTGCTGTCCCTACCCCTGCCTAGGTCTATGCAAGGGAAGCCCAGCCACCTGTCCCTCCTTTGAGCAGGCCTCCTGGGAAGAGCCAGGTGTAATCCTCCTCGCTACAATGTGAAGCTGAGAGAAGAAAACACAAATCACATTTGGTCCTAAGACTGAGAGAAGGGCCTCTCCCAGCACCCCCCTTCTGGAGCCTTCTGCCTTAATTCTGCCTTGATCTCAGTGTTACAGCCCCCCACTTTCTAGAGGAGTGGGGGGAGTTACCCTTCTGAGCCAATGGAAGGGGTGGGTGGGCACCCTCCTTCCTATCTAATAAAATGCCAACCTGCCCTGAGTTTCTGCTACTCTGGGAGGGGTCCCCTGGGTTTCTCCCTCCATATGTACCCTCCTCCCCTGCCACCAGGACCCCTGGGACTACGGCCTCCTCTCCATCTCTGATCAGAGCCGACACCAGACGTGATTAGCAGGCGCAGCAAATTCAATTTGTTAAATGAAATTGTATTTTGCCCACGGCTGCTTCTGTTTGATCCCGGGGGACGGAGCAAGGGAGGGGAGGGGTGCAGAATGGCAGGCAGAGGGAGGCCCAGGTGCATGGTGGCAGGTGGGCAGACGGGCAGACGGGCAGACAGCCTCGGGCTTGGGCAGGGGACCAACCCACCCTGGGCGGGCTGGGCAAGCTCATGCTGGGCCTGAGCTGAGCCCGCCCCTGGGCTGGCACTAAGAGCCTGGGCCAGAACGTGGGGCCCCGCCACGTCATTTTGGCACCAGAAAGCCCTGCTTCCTGCTGCTGGAGCATGTCCGCCACGCTCCACACGTAGCAGGCACCACACCCTTGCAGAGCCAGGGAGCTGGTTGGGGCCATTTGGATCCCTACTGCTGCTGCAAGCTCTCCCTCCCCCACGTGGGACTGCAAGCCTGGGGTCAGAGGCGTTTCCGCCACTGGGAGCAAGGGACCAGGGAGGGGGTGGAACAGCCTCCCACTGCGTGGGAACGGGGCCTGTGGAAGCAGGGTTGAGGCAGGGTGCAGACCCATGCCTCCTTCCCCATGGTCTGCAGGCAGGCAGCAGAAGACCCAAGTGGACTTGTACAGCAAACTAGCACCCAGGGCAGTTTTAGAAGTCAGGCCGGTCCTTCTTGAGCTTCTTGTAGTCAGTGGATACTGCGAGGAACTGAGAGAGGAGAGGTGGGTTCTGGGACCCCAGGGTTGTACACCAGGTGGGGTAACGACCCTGGAATCCCCAGGTACCTTATATTGGTCATTGGGACTCAGGCGGTTCCAGGGTTCTGGATTGTTCTTTCGATCCCAGCTGCAAAGCACCACAGGGAAGGGTTAGGGACTCTGGAAGCTGCCTGGCTCCAGGCTCTGACTATAGAGTCTCTGCACCCCCACCCCTAACATCATCTCCAACCCGGAGGTGGACAGAGGGGCATGTTATTTGGTGCCGACAAGGAGATAAGAAACTTGTCACTGATGGGGATGGGCAGGTAGTCCTGCCTGCTTGCTGCCACTCTAGATGAACGCTGCAGACAGTCCTGGGAATGAAACAGAGATTCCGGCTGGAGTTGCAGCAGCGCCTCGCTGGGTGTGCCTTTTGCCCCCTGGAGAAGCTGCAGCCCCACAGGTGTGGAGGCCGTATGATACCCCCAGTCCTGGCAGTGCCAGCAGCTGCTGCCATGGCCATACGATCCCCTCCCCAGTGCTCCAGTGGGTGGGCTCAGAGGTGTCCAAAAGCCAGAGGCCCTTGGCCAAGTGGTGTCGCCATGGCAACAGGCTGGGAGCTCCACCAAGGACTGACTGCCCAGGTAGGCCAGAGTGGAGATGGTGTGTGTATGTGTGTGTAGGGGGGAGGGGAGTGGCCTCCCAGGTTAGGGCAGGCTTCAGTCCTGAGACACTGGTGCAGCCCTAGGTGCCTGGCTGGGACTCCACTTCCTGCACCCATTCCCTGATGGCCCAGGAAGCCAGGCCTTTACCAGACGTCCGGGCTGCGCAAAGCGAGTCGTAGCAGGTAGAGAGCGGCGCTGCCGAGGCCCAAGCCAATAAAACCGATCATGGGGATGAGCTGCAGGGCAGACAGAGGGTGCTTTCAGGGTGATCCCCTGCAACCGCTACCCTGCCCTCCCCTCCCTGCTGCTTCTCCACCCCTGCTCTGGATTCCTCCTTCCTCCTGGGACAAGATGGGGCATCTGGAGACTCCCTGAAGCCATGCTTCTGGCAGGGGGGTTTGTCTCTTGCACACCCTTGGGCTCTCCTGTTCCAGACAGCCTGGACTGACGGACCAGGGCTCTGGGGTGCGGTGTAGGGCACCAGTGGAGGAGGAACGGGTCAGAGGGCAGGGCCCTGCCAGAACCCAGGGCTGCAGCGGTGAGAAGATGTGGGGGGGACAGCACCACTCACCGCTGGATGCCGTTTGATCTGCCGGTACAGGCGGGCTGCTGGTCCTGTCCCTGGTCGGGTTCCTGCCATCTCTTCTCCCAGTGTGGCCTCACCAGTGGCCTGGAAGTCTGTCTCCTCCTGGGGTCCCGCCTCCCATGGGGAGGGTTCAGTGCAGCCAGCTGCCTATGCTGGGGCCCCACCCCCATCTTGCTCACTCCTGCCTGCTGTTCCAGGCCCCAGGCAGAAGCAATCTTTGTGGAAACAGATGCGTAGCTGACTGACTCTCTTCCTCAGATGGGAACGTAGACATTTGAGAGAGGAGAGGCCTGGGACCAGAAGATGTGGGAGGAGATTGCCCATGGTGGGTCAGGCATGCAGACAATCCTGCAGCAGAATACAACTGTGGTGAGGGTATACATTTGTGTGTGGGGATGTGCAGAACCAGTGAGGTTTCCAGCATTTCCCAACAGTACCTTGAAGTTATCAGGTCTCCCAAAGTTGGTTATGTCCTTCCCAACTAGATAATGGGGTGCCAGCCCCTCTTGTCCCAGCGCTGTCTCCCAGTGGTGAATGGCCTGTAACCCTGCTGAATGAGGTATGCTTTCATTCCAGCCCAGGAGGGAGCAGCTCCGTGTGTGGCTCAGTGGAGGCTTATGGGATGCACCTGCTGGCCCTGCTGACCTGGGGTAAGGCTGCAGGTGGTACTCCTTCCAGTCCCCTACCCTCAACTTCCCCCAACCCCCAAGGCAACGAGAGTCTAGGGCTGTAAGGTGCAGAAGAGGGGAATGGAGGGGAAGACAGGGAAGATGCTGAGGGATGGAAGACACAGCATTGCCTCCCTCTGCGCAGCCAGACCAGGTGGGTGCTCTGCTGCGGGTGTGGGGGATGAGGGACCCACCGTTCTCCCCTTTCAGCCCCACCCCATCTTTGGGGTAAAAGGGTGTTGGGTCCGCAGGAGCTAAGCCCTAACCTAAGCCCTAACCACCTCTCTGCGCTCCCACACTAAGCCCCCCACATCTCCTCCTCCAGAAGCCCAGGAAGGGGCTGTGCTGGGTCCCCCTCTCTCGCGCCCCGCCGCCGTCCGGCCTCCTGGGGGAGGGGGTTTGGGTTGGGAAGCACCCTTCCTCAGGCTCGCGCCCCCCTCCCTCCCTGGCTCACGCGCTGATCCCTCCCCCGCCCCCCCGCGCTGACAAGAGCGGCTGTAATTAGGCTGCGGGGTCCCGGGCTCTCCGCCTCCCTCCGGCGGATAATGAGATAAAGTGTCAGAGACACGGCGAGAACAAAGAGACAAGAGACTCGCTGCGATGCGTGCGCCGGGCGGGGGAAGGGGGCTGACGGGATGTCAGCGCGGGAGCTGCGCCGAGCCCCTCCCCGCGCGCGCCCGCACCCCTCAACCCCCTCCCGCCGGCCCTGGCGTCTGAGGGGCTTCGCCCGAGAGGCCGCACATCTGGGCTGCGCATCTGGCAGCCGTGCTACAGCTGGGCAGCCCGGCGCCGCGAGCGACGCCTGGCCCTGCGCCGCACCCCCTTGGCTCTCCTCGCCCCCTCCCCAACTCGGGTGCCCGGGCTTCTAAGGTCTGCTGACCTGGGCCTGGCCAGTCCGTTCCCCGCACTCCCCGCTATGAACAGGCTGCCCTGACCCCTGCGCCTGCTTCTTTCTGGTCCGCGGGTCAGCGAGCTGATTCCTGTCCCCTCTCGCCTTTGCTTCCCTCCCGGGGGTCATGAATTCTGGGGACCGAGCTGAGATTTATGTTTTTTCTCCCCTATCCCCTCACATTCCCGACAGGGACTGAATGCCACGCTGGCCCCGCGGGCTGCGGCAAGGCGGGAATCAGCCCCAGACTGAGGGACCGGCCGTGAACGCTAACCCGCACCGGGACACTAGGGCGTTTGTGGGGGGAACCTGGGCGCGGGCGCCCCCTGCAGGCCTCGGGCTCCCAAACTTGGGGCGAAGGGGGCTGAGGCCTCGGGCTCCCCCTGTCGGGAGGCCTCGGCCCTGCAGCCCAGCGTTGGAGCAGGTGAATCCGCGCTTGGAGGGCGAGGGTCCCTGCGCACAGCCGTGCACTCGGGTATATTCCCGCTGCCGAGGCAGCGGGCGCCGCAGGCTCCCCTCTTCTGGCGTGAAGTGCGCTTAGAGGGCGGAGGAGAGACACGGAACCTAGGATCAGGCTAGTCCCGTCCTGGGGCTGGGGCCTGCAGCTCCCAACGGTGTCTTCTAGACCCGGACTTCTCTTCGTGTCTCATTTCAGGCCGTGTGTCCATGTTGGTTTAGCTCTATCTCCTTTCCGTTTCTTTATCATCCTGTGTCTGTCCCTCCTTCCTGACTTGTCCTTCAGCACCTGTCTCTTCTTTCTCCTACAGCTCCCCGAACTGGCGGACCCTGGTGGAGGGAGTGTGTGGGGAACGGTGGAGGGGCACTGAAGCAGGACGACGGGACAGCCTAGGCACACCTCTGGGCACGGCTTGGGATTATGCCCTCCGAGTCATTTCACACACCCAACACTTCCGCCCGGCCTCCGTTTACTGTGGCAGCTGTGGGGAGGAGAGGGCGGCAAGGGCTCAGCATCTGCTCGGGAGCCCCAGGGCCCCTGACCCCTCTGCCACTATTAAGGGCGCTGGTCCCGAGGCTCGCAGAGATGATCCTGATTGCATCAGCCAGACCGAAGTGGGGCCGGGAGCCACACGCGGCGAGCCAGCCAGAGACAAAGACGCTCGCGCCATCTGTTTATGCAAAGCGCTTTCCGCCGCCAGGGACCCTAGCGTCCCGGCGCCCGGCCCAGCTCGGGGCACAGGGTCAGGAGCCCACTGCCGCCTGGTGTACCAGTCGCGCCTTGGCTTGCCCCCCGCCTCCCGTTCCCCAGCACCCAGAGGGGCCGCAGGGCGAGCGGAACGAGGAGGGGGCGGGGGTTGATGTGATTGGAGCGGACGCGGCTGTTTCTTCAATAATGGATGGAGATGATGCGGACGGCGGAGCCGAGCCGGCCGGGGAGAGGAGAGAGGAATAGAAATCGGGAGAGGAAGGATGGGGGCGGGAGACTCGCCCTGGTGTGCGCACGCGTGCGCGCGCACACACACACACACACACACACACACACACACAAGTGTGCGTCACACTGTCATTTGGATACTCGCCGCCGCGCGGCTCACACCCAGGCACACACCCACGCGCTGTCACCGAGACACACCTGCAGGCAGAACCACCCAGATACACACACACACACACACACACACACACACATGCTCTCTCATCGGTGGCTTTTTCTGATTTTCATACAGGACGTGCGTGCGGGGCACACACCGGTGTGAAAGGGCACACAGGCACGTTCACATGCCCAGGTACTCCAGGAACACCCAGGCACCCAGACACTCTGGGGCTGAACCAGGAGCCATCCAGAGGGGACGGAGCAGCAGCGGACAAATCTCACTGATACAGGCCAGGGACACACACACACAGAACCCCATCAACACATGCTGGGGAAAGGGGGAGCGCCCACACCTGTCAGCCATAGCAGGGGTATAGAAGCCTGTCATTGTCAGGGGTGTAGAGATTGCCCCATCCCCAACCCGAACTCCATCCCCTCCTAGCTGGCCCTTTTTGCCAGAGCCACTGCCATGCCCTGGCTGGAGGTGTGCACGGTGGCAGGGGAGGCCGTCAGGTCCCTGGTGTAGGCCTTGTTAGCCTGCCTCAACCCAGCTGTGTAACAAGGCCCTGGTGACAGAACTGCCTGGGGCTGTGCACTCAGGCCTAGCTGCCAGCTCACTCCCCTGGTCAGCCAGGCCAGGGCTGGTGGAGCAGGTGCAGTGGACCTTAACTGAACTTTTGTGGAGAAGGGGTGCAAGGGGATCCCCAACCTGCAGCTCCAGAGCAGGGGTGAAGAGAGGACACTCTGTACCCCACTCTCTCCTCAGTGCTGCCTGAATGGTTGGTTGCCTTCATAGGATACTCCTCATATTTTTCCTGTTTTTATGATCTTTTATGGGTTCTTACAGAGTGGGGTGGGCAGTACCGAGGGGTGAGATGGGAGTTGTCTCCTGGAGCCTTGAACCCCCGGCCCCAGGCCCCACCTCTGATCTCTTTTCAATTCTCCTCGGTGGACTCGCGACCTTTGCCGCAGGAGGCAGCAGCATTCATCACCTGGGCGGGTGCTGGCGGGGAGGGGTGGGGTGGAGGCTCTGGGGGCTCCAATAGGCCTCTGTGCTGCCTTGGTACCCTCTCTCAGGACCTGCTCTGGGTTCTGGATGTGTTTGCCGCTCCGCGGGACCGCACGCTCCATCTCGACCCTGGGACCCCAGTGTCCCTCCCTCTAGCTCCTCACAGCTGGCCTCTCTCGCTCTTCCAGCCCCTCCCTTCTCTCGGGCCCTTTGCTTAATTTCCTATTAACTGCTGATAAATCCAATTAAACCGCCGCTCTAATTAGGGACAGCTGCCGGCTCCGTGAGGCGAGGGAGGGGGGCGCCCCCCGAGTGCAGGGGGAGAACAGCCGCTCTCCCCTGCTCCTCTGCACCCCCACCCCAGCATCTCCGCCCAATGAGCCAGTAAATTGGTTTTGCTTCAGCATTGTGGGGGGCCTTCTCAAAATCCCGGGTGTGTGTGTGCTGGGGGTGGTTAGGAGGGGGCTCAGGTTTTTTTCAGGCTGCTTGATGAATAGGGTCCTAACCCTCGCCGGCGCACCTAGGCGGTGGGCGGGTCCCCTGGATGGGGCGAAAAAGGCTTCGTTTGTGTGTGTTGGAGGCGTGTGTGGGCGCTTGGGGCGTTCCTATTCCAGCTCCACAGAAACGGCAGGAGAGGGGCTGCCCGAGTCTCCCTTTATGACCCACCCGCTTCCCTCCCTTCCCCATCCCAGGCATCCAGGACACAGTCAAGGGCAAAAGGACCCGTGAAACTGGCCCGGCTTCGGAATGAGGCTCTGTGCTTGTCCCTTAGCCCCATCACACCTCAGCCTTCTGGAATCAAGGGGCGGGGAGTACCCCTGTCCCAGGCCCTCCTCTTCCCCAAGCCCAGCTGAGCCTCTGCCCTCCCCGCCGGCACAGCAGATGGTGCCCGGGCTCCCGCTGCCAACCTTGCTAGGCGGTGCCAGCCTCAGCCGTGGCAGACAACGGGCAGACGAGCAAGGAGCTCCTGCCTTGGCCAAGCCTACCCTCCCCCACCCATCATCCAGCTCAAGACCCTCCGCCCGCCGCCACTCCAGCCACCACCCCGGGCTGCCTCTCATGGCTCCGCTCTCAGGTCTCCCAACTCCACGTCTCCTGCTCCCTTCCCCACACCTTCCCGTTCCTCGCCACCTGCCGCCCTGACCGGGGCCGGCAATTTACATATTTGCATATGCAAACGACAATATTTGCATAGAGCGCGCCGCAGGGGGGTCTCGGCGAGAGCCCGCTAGCTGTCTGCCCGGCGTCCTCTAGCTCGCTACCTGTCGGAAAGGGCTGGGGCAGGGGCCGCGCGGGAGGGGTTAGGCCCCCCACCCCCCGCCTCACTAGCTCGGTTCCCGGAGGACTTGAGGAAATGTTGCCATAGATACGGCACGCTCCCCACCCCCTCCCAGGCCTAGGGTCTCAGACTCGGCATCTCCAGTTCTCCCCTACGCACCCTTACCCCCTCCCCATCTCTTGCTCTCCAACCGAGATCTTGCATCGCCCCCTGGCGGCCTGGCTCGGCGCTGAGCCAGGTTCCGAAATGCAAGGTGCTTGTCCGCGGCCAAATCGTTGCCAAGATTTGGGGCCTGGGGGGAAAGATGGAAGGGGCTGCGGTGCTAGAGCGGTCCGGCTCCGGGCGCGGGAGTTTAGGGACTCAGGGTCGGCGACTCCAGCCCGGCTCCCCGGTTCACAGGGGCTTCTCCAGGCACAAACACTCGTCTCCCTCACCTCTCACAGCTCAACCCCTGATTACCCTGATTGCAGGCAAGAGGGACCGCCGGGTGAGGATCTTCTGTCCTTCTGCAAAGAACACAGTTTCCTAACTTCTGTCAAAACTTTAATAAATTCGCAACGGTCGACAGTTCGTCCCCACGGTCCCTGGGCTCCTCCAGGTGGTGATGTGATCTTGGTCCCGCTCTCACGGGCTGGGCCCGAGAGGCTGCGGGTACAGGTGCGGGTTACTCCGGGTACCGGGTGTGCGAGGCCCTGGGCAGGGGAAGGGAGCGGGAACCAGTCCCTCTTTGCAGAAGCCCCCACCCCCACCCCCGGTTTGGCTGACCTTCCTACCCGGTTCCCACTCCTCAGTCCAGTTCTTTGTGTGCCCCATTTGTTTCCTCTTTCTGCCCCCCCCCCCCCCGCCCCAGACTCCCCTGGGCCAGCCCAGATTGGGGCCTGGGTGTCTCCTGCCAGCAGGTGCCCGCACGCCTAGATCTCCTCCAGGAAGTCGGTGGGGAACAGCCCCACCTTGCGGCCGGTGTAGACCTTGACGTAGCCACCGGCTTCATCTCCTTTCTGCACCACAATCTGTGAGAGAGATTCAAGGATCAGGGGAGTGGGATCAAGTGAGAGCAGGGGAAGTGGGGGTAGCGGAGGCTCGTCCCACTCATCCGCGCCCTTGATGCGGACGGGGGTCTGCCCTCATTCGAGGTTCCAGAGCAGCTACCTGGTCCTTCTTGAGCGTGATCTGCCCTATTTCCCGGTTCCCCACGAAGGATCTTGTGACGCGGTGCACGCGCTCTCCAGCACGGACCCGAATGATGAAGTTTGGAGGGAAAAATCCGACTTTCTCCCCAATCTTCCCCTAGGGAAGGTGGGGACGGGATCAATGTCTGCTCTCACGTCCCAAGTTCCTGGGCACACACAGCACCCCCTTAACCAGTCCCCTTACCCGCCACCACTCTTCATTGGAGTCATCAATGACAGTGATTTTCTCTCCTGGCCTGGGCAGAGAAGGAGGGGCTCTGAAATGGTCCTTGGATCCAAGGACCGATAATTACACTTTTCTTCAAGTCCTTGAGTGCCCCCCACCTTTTCAAGCCCCCTCCCCCCACCAGCCAGGCTGCTCACGGGAAATCCAGATCATCTTTCTCCAAGGCTTTGAACCGATAGAGAGCCACAAAGTAATGAGACTGCTGGAAGCCGGGCTGCTTGTGCTGGGAGGAGAGTACGTGGTGAGTTTAGGGTTCCTGTGCTTCACTGCCCTACCCCAGGAGAAGGAACCCAAGACAGGGATGTTCTCCAAATTCAACTGCATCCAGGTTCCCTGAACTAGGAGGCCTTTAATAGTCTGGCCATGGGTGTGTGGGGATAGTGAGGGCAGGGAGAAGGGAAGAGGAGCCTCAGCTGGCTGGGCCAGACTGGGTTGGGCTGGGGGTGGTGTCTGGCCTGGGTAGGGGAGAGGCCTGGGACCTTGGCCAAGAGAAGACATTCTCACTTTGTCGTCTTGTGTCTTCTTCTCAGCTTTCTTATCCCCTTCAGGGTTTCCTAGGACCAGAAACAGCCATGAGCTTAGTCTAGCTCCTAGAAGGCAGGCCTCATCTTCTTCGGCCTGCCCCCCTCTCTCAGCTCCCTCTCTGTGGGGAAATGGGCAGGCACTCACCATCCTGGGGTTTGCCTTCCTCTGGTCTGGTGGACTCTGGCTCATCCTCCATCATGGCTGCTAGGGGCTAAAGTGGGTACCAGAGTTAGGGGGAGAGCGTCCTGGGGACCCAGAGCTCATCCTGGTTCTCCAGCCAGGCCAGACAGCCTCAAAGGATCGCAGGGACTCAGGAGCAGAGCCTTAGGAGAAGTTCTAGTATTGTGAAAGTGGTACTTTGTTTTGATCCAAGGACTGATAATTACACTTTTCCTCAAGAAATTTCCAATGATTAGTTCTAGTCCCTCCTTTTTGTCTATATGTAGAAATGCATCATCCAGCATACAGGGTTCCCTCCTCGCTGTCCCACACACTGGATGAACAGACCACTGCTATTTTCCTTTGTGTTGCTGAGGAGAGTGTCTTCAGGTGAGGACCATGGATGGGACTGCCAGAAGGCACTGGGATTCTGTCTATAGAAACACCTGGAGGACCGGGGTCCCTTGGGTGTTTCATGGAGACCCATCTCAGTGAAGCCACTGTGCACATTAGTCCAGAAGTCTACAGGTGTACTTCCAAAAAGTTCCTGGAAAAATGGAGTTCCAAGTGTATCTGAATATGTAAACATTTAAAAACTACGCAATGTTTTCATACTCTGCATTTTCACAAACTTTGTGAAGTGTCTTTCTGTAAGGACACTCTAATGTGTTCCTTGCTGAACAGGACTCAAGTCAATGGTCTCCCAACATATTATCCCTATTATACCAGAACTGAGGGCACTCCAGGCCCGTAGCCTTGTGCCTCAATTTTGTCATTGGTGAGGTGAAGGAGTCATACCAGATGATCCTTATGGACCCTTGCCTGGCTCTGGAATTCTCTAATTTCTCGTAGCAGGACACATTCTCTTCCTCCAATACAAAAAGCATAGCGCTTGCCTCTGTCACCTGGGGAAGGCCGAGGGCCTGGGATCAGTCTTTGTGTGGTTAGTTGACAATTTCAGACTCAACACTCTCTCGCAGAGGCTCCTAATCTGAGGTCCATGTTGAGCTATAGCAGGTCCAGTGTACGCGAACGAATGGCTGGGTTATGTGCATTTGTAGGGGAAGACAACTCACAGGCTTGCGCAGCTCAAAGAGGTCAGTGACCTGTCCCTCTGGAGAGACCTGGTGGTGGGGAGGGTGCTCACATTTTTCTTGTCGGCCTGTCCCTTCTTCCGTTCCTTGTTTGCCATGATCACTCCCGTGCGCAGGGTTTCAAACACAGGGTCATTGCGATTAGCAGCTGGTGGAATCGGAGGAGGAGGAAGACATTATTGGGAAGGTAGGGAAAGTCTTGGAAGGAAGAGAGACCTCTTATAGAAGGGTGGATAGACAGACGCCCAAGAAGAGAGTGTGTGTTTGAGGGGTGGGTTAGGGAATGGTCATCTGGGCAATAATGAGGTCACCCATTTGCAGAGGATGCTAAAAATATCACTAGAAATGGAATGAGATGGAGAAAAAGATGTGTCAGCCCTCTTTCCAGGCAGAGCATTGTATGATGCTGGGAAACCGACAGTGGCCAGTTTCTTGGGGTTGAGGGTATTACACATACCCTCTATTCTTCTAAGAAGAGTGGTCCCTTAAGTACTGGCTTTTCTCTGCTGAGTGGCATGTGCCAGCTGCAGTGCTGTGACCAGTGGATTTTTCATTTTTACCCACATGCCCTGCAAAGTTGTTTGTTGTCCAAATAAATGTTGAGGGAATTGTCAAGAAATACATACTTCCAAAGGTAGCCAAATTATATACCTGTCCAGGGTGCCTGCCCGGAATCTGGATGTGGCTGAGTCTGGGATGATTCTGTAATGAGCATGAGGACAGTATAGAATCCTTTCTCTTGCTCAGAAATGGTTTTCCATATGAACAGCACAGGCTCAGACTTGCAAATCAAAGTTCCAGTCTTGGCTCTAACTCTCACTGTCTGCACACAGCTCCAGCCCCTTCTTATCTCCCTTAGCTACAGGACAGGGTAGTACCAGTGTGGCAATGAAGATAGCTATAAACGTTGGAGGAGACTTAGAAAGTTCATGAACAGATAGAATAAAAAGAAAGGTTTAGGAAGTAGGCAGTTGGCCTATGCTCCCACACAGGCTAACATGCCTGTCTCTTGCCTCTGAGTGCCTGGCTTTGAGTGCCCTCTCCAGCTTCCTGCTTAGTGTGGTCCCTGGGAGGGAGCAGTGCTACTCCAAGCAATTGGGGCCCTGTCATCCACGTGGGAGACACCTAAATTGAGTTTCTAACACTAGCCTTGGTCCACCCTAGGCATTGTGGGCACATAGGGAAGTGAAACAACAGAGGAGAGTGCTCTGTCCCCCAGAAAGAATTATTTTGGTGTCAAATTCATGATATGCACTGTCTACTTGTCTTTTTGAAGACTCCTCATATTAAGATGAGGATGAGTCCTAGGAAGTAGAATGTTTCTGCTTCAAAACATGACTTTCAAAGTTAGGGGTGGTGTGAAAACATCTCTGAGGTTTGCCCATTCCCTCAGGTCCAATATGGGGCACTTACAGGAATCTTTGACACAAGCGTACTGCTGGTTGCTGTAGAGTGGGGAGCTATAGGCCCGGTGGAAACCAGGGGGCTGTAAGGATGGGATGGGAGGAAGCATTAGAGGTGATAGGGCAGGGTCCAGACCCCACGTCTCCCATAAAAGCTCATCCCTTTGCAGAATAAGAGAAGGGTCTAGCAAGTAAAGCAGAGGAAACAGAGGGATGGCATGAAGCGAGAGCAGCAGGGTGTGGCTAGCCAGTCCCCCACTACCACTTTCTCGCTCTTCCCCTGTCCCCTGGCCTACTCACGATCTTGCCGAAGCATCTCTGCATCTCCACATAGGGCTGACAATGTTCATGGATGTTGGTCTTGCAGTTCTTACAGCGAAGTCCAAATTTGTTGTTGACTTGGGGAGGGGAGAACATCTGTGTAAGGTTCCAGGTTACTCTTTCCCTTGGCACCTACTTCACTAGCTTCTAGGCCAGGACTATGTGCTCTGAATCTCTAACAGCCATTTCCTAATGTCCAGTCTTGCCCTAGACCACCTGCTACCCATAGGACTGTCCTAAGCCCCCTCCTGCATGCTCCCTTGCCTCTGACATCACACTCTCCACTTCCCTTTGTGACTCACGCACAATCATCCGGGCACAGACATCACAGAACTTGGGTTTCTTGAAGAAATGATCTTTGAATTTGTGGGGCTTGTCGTTGACAAGCTTAGGAGGCTCTGGGGGTGGCTCCTCCTCCTCCTCCTCTTCTTCCTCCTCTTCTTCATAGATGTAGTAGATGGGCCCACCCCCAGCTCCCACTGCCTCCCCATTTGCCTGAGGTTCTGGGGGCAGCTCCATCTCCTTTGTTTCTGCAGACCCCTTCCTGAATAACTGCTTCAGCCGCTGCAGCTGAGGGAGGAGGTGAAGAAAACCCAATGTTAAAAGACTGGTCCTGGCCACCTAGTGTAGGTGCTGTTCTAGCTAACCACATTCTTGGGTTGGGGCAAGGAATGCAGCTGGGGTGGGGATCAGGGGAGCAGCAGGTGCTGGCTAGCCCTCTAACAACACGTATTAGTCACAGATGATTCACACACAAGTCAACCCAAGCACTTTTCTTCAGGGTTGCGATGGCTTCCCCACACCCAGTGATCAGAGACCCACTCACCCCACTTTGCCCAGCCTCGGCTGGGGAGGGCTTGGGGGGCTCCAGCACCTCCTTTTCTGTCATCCTGCAAGAGGTTGGACTCCACTAGGAAATCCACTAGGAAACATCAGGGGATGGCCATTGCTCCCTCCCTCCTTCTCACTGAGGTAGGGTGGTCCTTGAAGGGGAGGCTTGGGGAGAATCTGGTGGGGTTCTGTTGGGAAGGCTTTGAGCAGCAAGATTTCACGAAGTTCAGAAGGAAGTTAGTAAACTTCCCAACCAGTACCATGTTCCCATTTATCCTCCCACTGGAGGGACATCTGTAGTGTACAGCCCGACCTGGCTGCTTGGCCCACCCATTATTATGCCTCCCACTCATGCCCTCCCTTAAGGTTTACTGTCTGTCCCCATGTGCACACAAGCTTGAGCTATGGACACTTCTCCCTTCTTTTCTGAGTCCTGGGGACCTGGTGCTTAGTTCTGTCCCAGCCTGCTTCAGTCCTCAGCTATTTTCAGAGTAATATGAGCCTTTGCTTCCCTTACTATTCCATTCTCTGGACCCCACCCCCACCTCTAATTCTAAACCTCATCCTGGAATAGGGTTAATTCCACTCCTAAAAACCCAGCTACTTACAGACAAAGAGAGAAATGCAGAAGCTGACTAGACTGGGGTTGGGGAGGCTGGGAGGACAACCCTGGAAAGGGAAAGGGGATCCAGAGGCAACTTACGTTTGGGATTCCCTAAGTCAGTCCGTGCAGGGACAAGAGTGCCCCTGGGCCCTTGATGGTGGTGTCGAGGGAGGACTGGGCCTCTTCCTTGGGGGCTGAGCCCCCCCCAGTACCCTTTGTACTCACACCAACCACTCAGATGGTTATTTGTAGACCTCCCAGCCTCTTGCCTTGGTGTCAGAGCTGAAGTGACAGGGCTGGAGGGAAATGGACAGCTGAGCCACACAGCTGACACAGAGAAATTGGACACTAGAAGTCTGGGCAGGGCTGAACCCTAACTCCACCCATCCCCCTAGCTGCTTTTCTGATTCTTCTTCTGGAGTGAGCAGGACAGGCTCAATGACACATGTATCTGTTTAGGCTGTGTACCCATTTCAGGGGTTTGGATGACTGTAAGTAAAGTAAGATGAATAGACCCTCCCCACTGAGTCCCCAAGGCTCAAACATCCCCCAACCTCAACCCTCTCAGAACTTAAGGAACAAGGCTTTTGTTCTCTGCAGTTGTCTTCCACAGGGACTGCTACAAGTCCCTGTGCCCTCAGATAGTCACTGAGCCTCAAACCTTTAGGCTAGCATAGTTTAGGAGCTGGTGAAGGAAAGGGCTGCATATGACTGCCCTCCTGTGGGTTACGTGAGGTGACCTTCTTATACCTGGGCAGCTCCATGGTCACCCTGATATCCTGGAAAGGAGGAGGGAGCTGCAGTACTGCTCTATAACTGCCAGGGGCCTCCAGCACAACCTGCCCACTACTCCTCTAAACTCTCAGCTTCAGAATAAAGGGACCTGCAAGGGCTATCAAAAAAGCAGGCTGGGGCTTGTGTTAGAGGGATTCTAGGGAGAGGGTGCCGATACCAAGGCACTCTGAGGCGGTAGCTGCCTACAGGGAGTTTTTTTTTTTTTTTTTTAATCATTTGTGAGTAGCAGTTTTATCAAGAGAGAACTTTGGGCTTGGCACAATGACTCAATGCCTAAATCCTTGGTTTGCAACCACTAGGATCCCACTGGTTCATGTCCCAGCTGCTCCACTTCCCATCCAGCTCCCTGTTTGTGGCCTAGGAAAGCAGTGGGAGGGTGGCCCAAGACTTTGGGACCCTGCACCTAAGTGGGAGACCCGAAAAAAAGTTCCTGGCTTTGGATTGGCTCAGCTTTGGCCATTGTGGCCACTTGGGGAGTAAAACAGTAGATGGAAGATTTTTCTGTTTCTCCTCTCTGTAAATCTGCCTTTCCAATAAAAATAAATAAATCTTGAGGTGGGGGAGGAAAGAGGGGAGAGAACGAGTGAGCAAGCAAGCGAGCGCACATGCCTGGGTCAGCCTTTTACATGGCCCTTGCTTACTGATTCCATCTCTGGCCCCCAATGCCCCAGTATATGAACTAAGAGGGGCAAAGACTTGGCTGACATTCCATCTTACAGGGATGCAGCTCTTGCCTCCTCTTTGGGCAAGGGCAAGGCTGTGACAGCAGCAGCTCTTAACTCAAAGGGGAGCGATGTTGAGGTGCTTATGTAAAGCTGCTTTATTGATTATTTCATCTGTAAGAAATACAGGCTGTGCTGCAAGTTGGGTCAGACAAGTTCTTGGAGGGGGAATGTATGTGGCTATAGCTACAGCCACCCAGACTCCAGTGGTGTTCAGCCGGTGCACTATGTGACACCTACCCACTGCTTTTTCTTTCTTGAAGGGGTTGGCGAGATTGAAATGGGGTGCTGGACCACCCTGTCTATTGGCCAGTCGGGAGGAGTCCTAAGTACTTGGGTTAGCAGGGAATACAAACATAAAACTATACTTCATGGTCAGCTGGGGCAGCTTTTATGGTTAAAAACAGCCCCTCCTTTTGCTGCCATGTAGAAACAAATCCTCTGACTTCAAGATTCAGAAAATGCCCAAGTCTGAAACCTCTGAAGGGCTTCCAGAAGCTTCAAGGGACAAGTATCTCAACTCAGCTGTAGACTTCACTTACCTTCACCAGTTCAGCCAGTGGGGCCCTACATGAGTGCTGGGCACCTCAGTGGCCACCTCCTCATCCAAATGTTCTTTTACTGATATGGACACAGAGGTTCTTAGGTGAGGGTGTTGCTCAAGGAACCCAAGACCATGGGTGAGCTGGGAGAGTCCCATACCAAGGTTCCAAGTGGCCCAGTCCCCATGGAGAGCTTGAGCAGGGAGAACAATGTCTCAGTGGGAGGAATGTTAGGAAGCAGAGTGCACACTGGAGAAAGGCGCCCCCAGCCAACTCCTCTAGCAGCTATTGGGTGCACCATGCCCAGGGCCTCCAATCCCACCCACCCCAGGGAAGCAACAGGAGAATAGGAATTGATATCCAGTGACAGATTTTTTTTTTTAATATTTAAAAACAAAAACAATCTCTGTTTGAATACCCCCCAAACAGGAAACAGATTAAATAAAATTTACAGTGAATATACTCAGCAAACATCTGTATGTGCAATTAAATACTGTGTCTGTCACTGTGGCACGAACCTCAAACAAACAAGATACAAGTGTTCTAGGGGGTGGGAGAGTTCCAAGTTTTAACTCTGTGGGGCTTAGGGATATGAGATGGGAGAAGTGAGAGGATAGGGAAATCAATTTTGCTTGTCTTAATTCTTTCCATATAAATATATTCAGAGATCCAAAAATGAAAGGGAATTTGTGATGGTAAGGAAATAGGGGAACAGGGGAGTGTGGGACAGACACTCCCAATTCTACTTGACCAAAAATATGAGAGAAATTAATTCCATGGTGGGACAGAAATAAAAATGATAGAAGAGTATGGGAAGGAAAGGGGAGACAGGGTGGGGGGGGCAACACAGGGGCCAGCCAGGGGACAAGAGAGCAGCCCTGGCAGAGTGGAAGGAGTCCAGGTTGGTGGATCTGACTCTGTTCCTAGCACTGTCCCCAGTCCCCAGTGTCTTAGGCTCCAGCCTGTATGAGCATCTGTCAGGATCCTCCCCCACCCCTGTTGCGCCCACAACCCCCCTCCCAACCCTGTGTTCATTTATTGGGAGCTGGCACGTTCCAGGATCCTCAGGTCATAATTCTTTTTGGCCACTCGAAGTTTGAAGCGACTGACGGAGTTGTTCAGGCGAAGAGAGGCATTCTGGGCAGCCAGGGGGCTGGGGAACACAGCCACGATGGTGTACAAGGCGGCAAGGTCCGAGTGGCGGCCATTCTCGGCAGTCCCACCACTATCCCCACTGCCAGGCAGCCCCTGAGTGTCCTTGAGCCACTGTATCTTGGCGCCAGACATTGCAAGCTGAGTGAATAGTTTGTCTGCTTCGGTACGAGTGATGCCCTCAGGGAGATCTGTCACCTCCAGGACCCGGCCCAGGACTGGAAGGGAAGGAGAGAGGCCACGCAGTGAGCTTAGGTAAGCAGGACCAAGTAGTGATGAGGTGGAGAGGCATCCAGCTGATCATGTCTGTATAAAGCACCTTTAAGATCCTGGCCATTCTGGCTTAAGCCTCCACCCCCATCCCCCAGCAGGCCAGCTCCCCAGCACCCAGACTCTTATCAGGGCAGTGAGGAGGGAGACAAAGGAGCCTCCGTTTTCCAGGCTGGAAAGAGGACCTGGAAATCAGAATCGCAGCTCATAAACTGGGGAACTCGAGGCAGCTTTGTCTCAGGGCATTGCTGCTGGGAAGGGAACATGGCTTTGCTGAGGTTTTTCAGTCAGGTCAATGGGACAGTGTGACAGGTTTCCCACCATGCCCTGCCACACCCAGGCCAGGTCCCTGCAGCTTCCTTCTTACCCTCCAGAGAAGACAGTCTGCTTTCCTTTCCTTGCTCAACAACCTCAGGGGGGGAACTCCTAAGAGTCCTGTGTGCAGGAGAGCTACTTCTCTGTATCTGCCCCACCCCCCAACCACATCCTCCCAAAGCGGGGACAGGACCACCAACAGCCTGTGTCCTGGTGAGGATCAGGCCCTCCCAGATGACACTGTTGGTAATAAGAGGTGTAGCAGCTCCAGCACCATGTCATTCTGGCATCTTGACAGCATCTTCTTCAGTGCTGGGCAATGCCTTGCTGAGAGAACTGATACTTCACTTCTCCAACTTCTGTTTGCCCTTGAGCACAAAGGGGCTCTCTGTCACTCCCCACCCAAACAAAGCTGGCTTTCCCTATCTTTCTGGGCTGCTTTAGGGGATGGGTACCTTCTTTTGGGGCTCAGCATCCTGCTACTCACCAACATCTGTGGTCCCCAGGTCAGTGGAGGCAGATTTGAGTGCTTGTCTCTTGCCCCGGTTTCCATGCTTCAATCCACTTTGTCCCTTCAACATTCAAAATTTGACTCTCATTCCAAGGAAGCAATATTAGCTGCTTCCATCCCAGTGTCTGCCTAGAGACCGAAGATCCCACCTGGAGAACCCCACCCCAGCATTCAGGTTGGCTGCTGAGAAACAAAGAGCCCCTGTGGAGGAAGTGCAGGAGTAGGGCAGGCCTCCTGCTGCCTGTTCATTCTGGGTGATTCCCCTGTCCATCAGCTGGCTGAAGCAGTGGCTCAGTGATAGGGATCTAAATGAGAAAGTGGGGTCTGGTGGCTCCAAGGCTTATGGTGAACGTCCTTACCTGGTGCACCGTGTAAGTTGACTGGCTATGGAGCAAGGGAGGGCAGATGGACAGATTGTACTGTAATGGCTGGCCCAAGAGGGAGTAACGCCCGTCACCTAGGGAGAAAGAGGATGTGGTTTTCTAGGAGCTTGATGGTATGCCCATTATGAGACTTTAGGGAGCTGTGGAGATGGGTAGCAATAATACATTTATCCTTTCTATGATGGGAACACCAGGTGACTGACTGCAGAGCTGCCTGCCTGAATAAATGCCTCACAGGCAAATGGGGCTATGTGGCCCCCTCCCCCTTGAAGAAGGGCTCTGTCTGTTACAGACAAAAGACACTATGGAAAAGACTCTGGGAGAAATCCACATACCCTGGGTGGCCTATTACCTGTTCCAAAGATTCTTTCCATCCCCACACCAAGGCTTCCACCTCTCATCCAACTGAAAGGCAATGGAGTGCAGTGACAAGGACACATACTGCCTTGGTTACCATTCTGTTCACTGGACATGTGATGCTGGGTACATTTTTCCTTCATTAATGTCATGGGGAAGGTTAAAGAAATCTAAGACATGTAAAGTGCCAACAACAATGACACACTGTGTTACACTATACTGAAAAACTTTATACTTCAGAGC